GACGATGCTGTGGTCCCACTCTCACTGACCCTACCCTCCCTTCAGGTTCCAGTGGGGGCTCGGAGGGGGGGGCCCTGAATGGCGAGAGGGAGCTGCAGGATGCTCTAAACCGATGGGTAAGACGTGCACCTCTCACTCCCCGGAGGTGGATTCAGATTCAGGGAAATAGACCTTCGGGATTTATAATCCTTGTACAGCTGGAACTGTTAAAGCAGGATGTCTAATATTTCCCCCCACAGTATTTGTGACCACTTACTTAACATTTGCAATGATAAAGTACAGTAATGGCCTTCAAATATTCAACACCTGGAACTGGATTATTTAAGGACCGTCATATTCTCAACCCTGAGCTATATCCCACTAGTTTTTCTCCACGAGATGATTACTTAGGAACATTTCTTTGATGTTGGAGACATCCTAGTTAGGGTTCTGTTTTGCATTTGCATAATCCCGTAGCCCAGGATTTCAGCTAAAAATGAGAAACCAGTGAGATGGTGTGTGAACTGCCTCTTCTGCGATGGGGGAAGGGGGGTGTAACCTCTCGCCCTCTGCCCGCAGCTTGGCGAGCGGCTGGCGCAGCTGGTACCGGCCAGCGGCGTGGACGTGGTGGAGCTGGAGGACGAGGGCACCTGTGTGAGGTTCAACCCCCTCATGACGGCGGCAGGTAGGGGTCCGCCTGGGCGCAGGGGGGGGGGGCGGTGAGGAGGAGTCCGACCGCAGCGGCGCGGGCAGATGCCGGCGCATCTCTCTGTGAGCTCCCCCCTGTGGCGACAGCGCGTGCGGAACACAGCTGTGCATCCAGGCTGTCAAAACGGGGCTTTCTCTAATTTATTGAGTGTAAAAAATATATTCAGAACCTCCCTTGGTGGGCGTCAGCACGCGTTCCTGCTTCAGCATGCAGGTTAGTGAATGTGGTCCCTGTGTAAGAGCCCTGCTGCTGCGTGTGACTGGCGTGCTCCTGTTGGCAGTGCTGGGCACCCGGGAGGAGGACGTGGACGCGCTGGTGCAGCAGCTGCAGGACAAGGTGCCCCTGCTCAACAGCACCCTGCGTCTGCGCCTGGACTTCCGGGAGGAGGTGTACCGCGCCCCCGGGCTGGCCTACATCGAGGACCTGAGCTGGCCGGGGCTGGGGGCCATCCGGTGAGCTGGGTCAGGGGGGATTCGGTGAAGGAAAAGCGCAGAGGCGCGTAGGAGAGAAACTGCCCTCTTCTGACCTCGAGCCGCCCTCTTCGTTATCTTGGCGTAAGAACCGGAGGTTTGTTTTTTTTTGACCCGGTGCATGAACCCTTGGCTTGTGTCGCCCCCAGGTATGAGCCGAGCGGCGAAGAGCCCGATGAGGAGAAGAGGCAGCAGGAGGTGGAGAAGATCAACAGCGGGCTGCTGAAGAAACTCCGAGAGCTGGACTCCGACCTCCTCTTCTCCACCGGTGAGCCCGTCCCACCATCTTGGTTTCCGAAATGATCCAGATGCATGCTGGGCGAAATGTTTTGTACAAGGTTGATTTTGCAAAAACTGATGTTTTTTAAAAGCCCTGCATAATTCGGGTCACAGAGGTGGGGGAGGTCACCTTGAATCCCCCATCCCAGGACGAAAGAGTTCCCAAACTCGGCTTTGCCCGCAGGACCGGAGTTTGGCTCGGAGCAGAACTGTGTCTACATCGGAATAGCGACGGAGGACCTGGACGTGACGGAGCTGGTGGAGACGATTGCGGTCATGGGCCGGGACATCGAGGAGAACTCCAAGGTGAAGCCCGTCGCGCTCGGCTTCGTGCCCGGAGCAGCCTAGAAGAAGACTGGCTGCACAAGAGGGGGCTCTGTCCTGTGTGACCCCTGAGCCCAGTGCTGAGTCCGACTCTCTTTCCCAGCTGCTGGAAAACATGACGGAGGTGGTGAGGAAGGGCATCCAGGAGGCGGAGCAGCAGCTCCAGAAGGCCAACGAGGAGAAGCTCATGGAGGAGGTGGGTGTCGGCCCTGGGGGTCAGTTGTCCGAGCTGGGGTCCACTGGGGCACGCTCCGTGCTCCCCCTGGGCTCGCTGCGACAGCTCTGGACCGGGATGCGGCCGGGCGCCGGATAGCTGACCTGTCCGGTTGCTTGCAGCCTCAGTGGGAGCTTGAATCCGGGCTGGCCCCTGGGGCTCGGCGCGAGTGTGCCCTGCGGACCCATGAAGCTGCTGTCGCTCTCTGTCTGCAGGGCCTGCTGCGGCAGATCCCCGTCGTGGGCTCCGTCCTGAACTGGTTCTCCCCCGTCCAGAGCTCCATCAAGGGCCGAACCTTCAACCTGGCCGCAGGTACCGTAGCCACCCGCACACAGACACCCGAGGCTCTCTGAGGGGTCCCAGAGAGAGTGCCTTTGCTTTCAAGCTGCAGTGGTGTCCGGCGTCTCACCGGGATTGTGAACCCTGTGGATTCACAAAGTCCGGACTCGGTCTGCCGCACGACGGTTCCATCTGCATGTCTGTGCTCCTCAGGCTCGCTGGACTCCACAGAGCCCACCTACTCCCTGAAGGCCCAGGCCACCCGAGGAACACCACCTCCCACCCCCACGTCCATCCGCACCAAGCAGTGTCTGCCAGGTAACCCCCGCAGCTCTTGTGTGCTGGCTCTAGCTGTCTGGGTGATCCACTGGGACATCCACAGTGCCATACCGAATTCCGGCCCTCCATCTGTAAGCAGGAGGCTTTGTGAAAGAGGCCACATACACTCCCAGCTCCTGGGACTACCTTTCTCATTCTCCATTAGCTCTAACCCACTAGTTCCTCTTTGCCGTGTTCTAGGCAGATGTCCGATTGCTAGTGTAGAAGCACAAAGATGTAGTAGGTCCCATCTAATATGTACTGCTCCTTTTGTTACCATGGTCAGGCATCTTATTTGGACAGCAAACAGAAGTCCATTAAGCAATAGGTCCAGCCACCCCCCTTTTTTGCCTCCGCTTGAGCAGTCCCTACACAGCCATGAAAGCAAAAGGCGCAGAGCAGGCCTGTCCTGTACTGGCAGCAGTTCGGGCGCTGAGTGTGTGCTCCTTCCGCCCCCCCCCGGCAGGCCAGAAGATGTTCCGCCGCTCGCTGGCTGGCTCCGACGTCCACAGCGAGACCAGCTCCGTGGGTCAGGCGGAGGAGCTGGAGAGGGAGGGGCCTCGGAGCCCCGCCCCCGAGGGGAGGGGCTCAGATGATCAACAGGACCCCGCCCCCACGGTCACGCCGCAGCCCGACGCCCCTGTTGAGAGAGAACCTGGCGAGGGGGCCCAGCAGGAGACAGAGCAAGCACACACTCTGAGATAGGATTCCCTCAGACGGGGGGGGGGCTGGGGGGGGCAGGCTAGGCTCACAGGTGAAGGGCCGGCTGAATGATTAGTAGATTGCTGTGTACCTACTGTGCTCCAAATTTCCACTTCCCTTGTTAGCAAAAAGGGAAAGATCAGACTTCTGAAACCACTTATATGCACATAACAGAACAGCAATAGGAGTTTCAACACTTCCTGAGTTCAGCATCTCTCGATTCGTTTTTTTTTTTACGCACTTAACACTACGTCAGTCACTTAAGACATGGTTATTCCCTTCGAGGTTCAGAGGGCTAGGTATTGAGCTGGTAGTGAAAGACATGTCTAAAACCTTTTCAGATTGGAAGAAGATCTATTTGAAATCATTCCTGTAAGGTTGGGAACCAACAGATCGCCAGCCCAGGGGACGGCTTTCATCACTTTTTTTATTTTCTGCCCGAGTAAAGACCAGGGCGTAAACTCTAGTGAAGCAGTAGAAGCTACCCAGGACCAGCTCTCGGCCGGCTGCACCCCCCTGCCAGAGCGGCCAGGGAGACAGAAAGGGCAGGGCATGTTCAGGTCCTGCTACTGGCTCTTTAGCAAACGCCTGCCTCATGTGAGTCACAGAACACTCAGAATTCCTTTAATAGCGAATCCTAAAATACCTTCACTTCGTAGCAGATGACCGCTGATGCCACCTTGTGGTTTAAGTAAAAAGATCCACTTTTTATGATACTTGGACGTGACACACAGTATGAGTACCTGGTTAACCCTTACCCCTTACTTAACTTTTAGAAAGCAGAACAGAAGAACACTAACAGGGGCCTTGTGCATTGCGGTAGAAGGGTGGTTTACTGACATGTTTGCTGGACTAATCAAGAGGTTTTATCTAACAGAGATCAATTAGTAGTTTGGGCTTTGCAATACTCATTAATTAGTAATGGTGGATAGTTCATTCAAGCAGAAGTATCTCATAGTGAAGACTGGAAAGTTCCACCAGAAGAAAATCCCGCTGTTATGCCAGTATTTTAGTTTTGTCAACAAAAGAATGTAATTTAAATGTGGAACTGGTATTCTGTAACCACAACTAACCTTACTTTGTCATGACCTCCGTCCACCATTTTATTTTTCTACACTGAAATGAAAAACAACATTATTGTTGTGGCCAGTGAGTGGTGAAAGTTGGAGGCTCTCCAATTGTGTCAATAACATCAGGCTCTTTTAACAGCGTGTTGACTGAGGCTCCAACTGGTGAATTTACTTTCCGTCATCTTGCATAACTGAATTTTTACCTTTTTTAAATTATTTTTTGTAAATGTTTCTTCCAAAACAGTTTTTTTAGGACAAGGCGAGGGGGAGAAAAGCGCTCAGTACCGCCCCCTCTAGGTGGCCATGTCTGGGGCTCTCTGCACTTTTCTCCACGTTAAAGACAAACCTTCTGCTTCCTGTCGAGCTTTAAACCGAGACCGTGTGGAACTTGAGCCATGTGGGCTTTGAGCTGTGATGTGGCTTTAGTGAAGCAATACGTTTTATTTCTCAATCTACAGGAAACAAGCAGCAAGGAGGAGTTCCTATAAACCGTGGGTAGAAAAAAGGGTTGTTTTGGAAAGTGCAGTTTTGTTTTATGTGCTGTAAAGTGCATTCAGATCTTTCTATAGTCTTCCTCCTAATTATTTTGTAATTTTTGGTGAAATGAAGAATACTGATTTATTGAGCTAAGGGGAAAAAAATAGACTCTGATTTTAATAATATATTACCATGGGAACAGGAAGGGTTTATTTTTATTACCATACGTTAGGCTCTGCTGTAGTGTATTTAATAAATACATCAGAAACAACACAAAAAAAATACAGATGTAGGAATAGACGTCTTGGTGTTCATCTTTGAAAGCTGGAGCGATAACATGTCCAGCTTCAGCTTTCATCTTGGGGGAAAAAAAAAGGAAACCATTTGAATCCTATCAATAAACTCGAGCGTAAAACTGTTTCTCTGCTCCGTGCCTTCTTTCGGGACAGCAGGTGGTCATGTCCAGCTCCTTTTACAGGGCTACTCAGAGCTCCAGCTTCCTATGCACAGGGGCAGGCTTCGATTTGTCCAAGTCAGCAAATAATGGGTCCAATTCGGTCATTAACAGCTCAGGGAGTAAGAGGTCAAGCAACCTGCTGTAATCCCAGGATAACAGCCACACTTCAGGATCAGCCTGCCCCCTTCCCCCTTCCTGTGGTCACTCCCACCCCCGGCACTGCAGCCCGGCCAGTCCCATTCAGACCTGCTGAAATCCCCAGCCAGGCAAGGGGGCAGGGGCATTACTGGGCCGAGGGGTGGTGTGCAGACTCGAGAGCCCCAGTCTCCCCAGTTCGCCCCACCCCCTGCGCCGTCGCAGGCACGGGGAAGGGGTTGAAATAACCCCCCAAGCGAGGATCTGCTCTCGGAGGCTGGGAATGCAGGGGGGGGGGCGCGCCGAGGGCGGGGGGGGCTGTTCTCTGCGTGGGGACACCCCTACTGCTGCACGCCCCCGGGTGCCCTCTCCCAGCCGCCCTGTGCGCTCCGGCAGTACAGCTGTGGCTCCTCCCCCGGGAACAGGCTGTCCGGGCTCGGGTGCTCCAGCAGGAACCGGATGGTGCTCTTGATGTGCTGGACGAAGTGGGGGGGCTCCACCAGGGGGGATGTGGACAGATGCTGCCGGGGGGAGAAGCACAGGGCCCTATTAAAGACCTACTGCTCCTTCCTGCTATTGGTATAAGAAAACATCGAGCACTATGCCTATCTCACGTCTTTTTAGTACCTCAATTACATCGGTTTATTTAAAAATGTGCAGAAGGCAGGGGAGTTTGTTCCGGGAGCACGCGCAACACTTAAGCTCCAAGACGCTGCCGGTCGCACCTTTAATATCGTGTCATCATCCTGCGTCAGCCAGAAACCGATGTCGGGGTTTGGCGACCACTGACACGGGCCGATCCTCACCAGGCCCCTTCCGGCATCGTAGATGTTGGCCATCTGGAGAGACAGAACCCCAGCTGACGTCTCCCTCGCACACACGGCATCCCCATCCCCCCCGCTGTCGAATACAGGTCCCCCCCCTCTCTCTCGCGCCTCGCCACCTCCTGTTCCGCTGGCTACTGACGGGACCGACGCCAGGGCCCAGAGCCGAGCCGGTGCTCCCGGTACCTGTCCCCCCGCGAAGGTCCGGGCGGATCGCAGCTCCTCGGCGGGGCCTCTGCTCGGGAACGACGCCGGGAACACGTCTCCGCTCCTCACATCCACCCCTGCAGACGACGGACAGCGACGGCCACTTCACCAACCTGCAGCCCCAACTGGACCGACCCGGCGCGCTGGCCCTGCCCGCTACCGGGACGGCAGGCTGCCCAAGCAATCCAGGCTGCAGCGGTAAGCCGGTTACTTACTGCTGTAGCCCAGTAGGGGGCGCACTTCCCTTTAGCTCATTATTTCTAAAGCCATGCCTCGGTATCTGCCTTACAGTGCAAATTCTAGTCTGGTGCTCTTCCATCCCGCCTTCCTGAAGGTCCCCCCCCCCCCAAGTTCCACGGGTGCAGATGTTTCTCAGCTCTCCAGCGGATATTCCGCGCCTCGCCCAGCTGGGCACGGCTTTGCAGTGGCGGATGAAAAAGAGCCCCTTTTATGTGCAGAGCAATCGCGGACTTCTAAGGTGCAAAGCTGCATACAATGCAAGCGACAACTCCTATCGGTTATAGTTGGAAGACACTCCCACTATCCCGATGGGGAGAACTAAAGGCTCCTCCACGTGTGAGCACGTTGAGTTGCGGTTTAAAAAAATATATCTGCAGGTCGATCAAAAGCTGCCAAGTCCTAGGATTTACTGCAAAGCTTGAACTAATCAGCCCTGTGAAACAACTAATGTTAACTCAAATGCCACAAAGAAATGTTGATTTGGATAAAGAAAGAACAGAAACCTTAATAATGGCATGAAACTTAAGACCACAGATTAGTTAAAAATCTCCTCCCCCTGTTACCCCATATTCCCACTGTACCTATTCCATAAACCACAGGTCTGTGTGTTCCTCCTGACACAACGTCGTTCAGCTCTGGAAGGGAAGGGAGACAGAAGACACAATCCTGAGATTTATCAAACAGCAGAAGGTGACTGTGGCTGGTCTCTCCCTTGCTGTGGCTTTTGCTAGACAAAATACCTTCAGTTAATGCCCCGATTCTCTCTAGGGGGTAAACAAGCGCTTTCATTTCCTCCAGTTCCATCGAGAGGGTAAGAGCTCACCTGAGATGCAGCACGTGACCAAGTGGATATCTTCTGTCTGCCTGTCGAAGGCGGCTACCCAGAAGACGAAGACAGGTACAAGTCAGCCTCCAATTCACCAACGCTGAAGGAATGTACCCCCATCCCAACACAGTGCTCTTACACCAATACAAGATTTAAGATCTCTGACTACGGATTGATCCATGGAATCTGTATCATGCCTACATGGCTTGTAAGATAATTAGAGATGTACCATAATAATAATAATAATAATAATAATAATATGTACAAGAGCTCCACACTGGCCCACCTGAAGCTCAGACCTGCTTGTTCTGGCTGACCAGACATGCATGAGCTGAAAGACCACCACAAGCTCACCAGTCAACTCCCTGCCAGGCCAATAATCAATACCCCAGCGCGCACATGCCTGCTCACCTAGAAGCTGGAAGCTGAGGTTGTGGGATGTCCTCATGTCATCGTCGAACCCTCCGACCAGGTGCAGCTCCAGCCTACACAAGGCAGGACAGCATGAGACGGGAGAGAGAGCTGCCAGGTGGTGCCGCCTGCTCACCGCGCCACGCTTAAGAGACAGTACAGGGGTTTTCAAGAGGGCCGAACGCTTAAAATAAAAACCCCCTTCGCCGTGCTTATCTCATGTCACAGTGACACTGGACTGAACAAGCATCCCAGGTAGGAAGCGTGTGGGGGCTCCATTCAGAAGCTCCTCCCATTCCGATGAGGGAGAGCGCACCGATGTGCACGCTGGACTGCAAGGACGAAGCCACTTCGACTAAACCCAACAGGAGGAGACGTACCGGCCGTCGTGGGCGTGGCTACTCAGCGACGTCACCGCCCCGACGACGAGCGGAACCTCCCTCGCGGTGCCGGAGCCGTCACAGTGCGCCAGGCATGCGGCTCCACTTCCTGCAGGGGGCAGTGCGGCGAGGTGAGTACCCAGACAAAACAAACTTTATTTCACACACACACACAAAACATCTCACAATAAGGACGCACTCGTAAAAAAAAAACGTTAAACTCTAGTGGACCGGGCGGTTAGAGAAGGGGTGGTCACCTGTGTGTCGCAGCGCCACCAAGTGGCAGGTGGTGGCGTCGTCGGATCCCATCACCGTGACGGCGTCTGGGGAGACGGGAGAGAGGCGCCAGTCAGGGACACTCGGCCGACGTCGGCGCGTCACGACAGGCCAGCCCAAAACCTCCCCCCCCCCCACCGCGTACTGCATTAAAATCCATTCCCTCGGGCAGCTCCGGGACACGCAGCCCTGCAGGACATTCGGCAGACGGGCGCCCTGGAGCTCCGCGACCCACACAAGCATCCCAACGCAACCCGCTCCTCCGTTAGCGCCCCGCTGAAAGCGCTGGTGCTGCTCTGTTTCCCACTAACGAAGGAGACGGGTTTTCTTGTTTGTGCTGCTTGTAAGGGGTGGGCAACTTCACAGAGCTTGGCCTGCGACCACTACGAACTATAACACTACATGCAAACACGGGTATGAGCCGGTGTCGATGAGCAGGTGTTCCAAGGCGGAGAGGCCACAGGCGCGACGGCCGTGACTCTGATGAAGGTGTTGCAAAAAAAAAAGGGCTGAACGGGTCTCCTCTCACCAGCAGGTCTCGCTTGTTTCTGCCGAAAAGGCACACGGCGCCTCACTGGGACGGCAGGCAGATGCAGTACATACCACCTCGAACAAGGTAGGGAGAGTCTGCAGCTTCTTCTGCACAGTGTCCTCCCCCACCCACCAAGAGCCAGACACTCTAACTGCACAGATAGCTCCGCCCGAGGTCCAGCTCCCCGTTTTTCCCAAGCCCCTCCATGCACGATGCACAAGCCTCCTGGGCACCAGCACCGACCCGCCTGCGACCTCCGGGGCTCACCGTCCGCCGGCGTGGTGGCCGCCAGCTCTCTCTGCTGCACGTAGAGCAAGCCCTGCGGGCCCACGGTGCGCGCCGCCCTCTCCCGGAAGCTCCTGGCGCTCTTCTGCGGGGGCACAAGAGGAAGAGGGAGAGGGGCGCGACGTGGACAGCAGCAGGACACGGGAGTCTCACCACCTGCCCCGCGAGGGTTTGAATGGCAACATAACCGCAGAGGCAAAACAAGAGGCACTCCTGATGGACTACTGCTGAAGGAGAGTCCATTTTTAAACTCGAATCTGAAAACTACGCGACCCTAAAAAACAACAACAACAACAACAAACAAAACCACACGTCCTTGCACACGTGCGTCCCTGTGGATAAACCAACAGAAATCGGGAAAACGCTTTTAAAGGGGAATTCTTAACTGCAGCGCTCGGCCCTTTCCTTCCTCAGGCCTGAACCAAGTATGATCCACTTTTCAGTTCATTCATTCTGGTATTTATGCCGTAAAACAGCACGTTTATCAATCCGATTTTATCCCCACAATGCAGGGCACTGATGCACACGGCGGAGGGACCGTCCCTACCTTGAAATGTGGGTATTTCCCGAAGAATTCGGTTGTCGTGTACGGTCGCTCAATTCTGTGATCATTGGCGAAGAGTGGCATTTCAATTCAATATTTTTGTGGCTACCAAAAGGTTTCTCGCTCGATCCACACCGGTTGGGGCATCTGTTCCGCCTTCACGCAGTTCCTGAAATGAGTGCCCCGCCCCCTTAGCTGTCATGACTCCGCCCGAGGGTTTCTGGGAAGTGTAGTACCACCCAGCATCCGCCTTTTCGCTGTCAAATGTCATAGGACTACGTTTCCCAAGATGCACGTAAACAGCGAAAGGACAGTGTCCTTTCAGGAACAACATTTAAGCTCCAAGGTAAAGCATTATAGTCAGCAAGTTCAACGTTTTAAGTTGTTTTACACTTATATAAGACAATAAACATTTCATGTGTAAATTGCACTGTTAATCAAAAATTAATATTAATTTCAAAACATCACAAAACTGCCAAACTTATATGAGTATAATCATATGGTATAAAGACAATGATGTCTTGCTCCGGTTTCAATGAACAGAATGCAACAATTATAATACAGCACACTTGTTAGGAGAAACATTTATTTTCTACAAGTTACGGTCAGCTGTGTAAAATATCACCATACTTCAGAAAACGTTTTTTTAATAAAATAAACATTTAAACTGCAAACTCCTGGTCCTTGATAAGGAGACATACAAGTAGATTTCCCTACCGCTGCAGTTGCTTGTCTTTGACGGTATTTCTTACATTTCCAAATCCAATAAGTTTCAACATTACTGATCGCTTCCTCACCCGTGGCTCATAATAAGCGCACAAAATCATTTACAGAAACAGCAAGAATTGTCATCTTGATGGAAACCTATACAGAGAACAGTGTACCTTTGGCAATAAATAATATGGTAATTTTTTAATTTGAAATTAAAGTAGAGTTGAAGTATTTACATTTTAAACAGGACTGGCCCATGGTGAATGGAGTGCTGAGCCTCCTGTCACGGGGGTCTCCCGTGACCCCGACATCCACCCAGTCACCCAACCATTCAGCCATTTCCAGAATCGGAGCAATCAAGAGTAAGCTCACGTGCTTTAATAGAGATTTTAAAACAAACCCAGACACCCCCTTGTTCTTTATTTACAGCGCTGTCTCCGGGGAAACGCGTCACAGCTAGAAATACACGTGAGGAGCTTAAGAAGAAAAAAAAAAAACTAAAGCTAGAAAAGGTTCATCAAAGAGTCCGAAGTCAAGTGTGGTAGAGATTCTTACAATACAGGCACATTTACACACACATTTACAACCGGAGAGTCGCGGGCAGAGCTGACCATCCCTGCCGAAAGGACTCCGGGGAGGGTGTGGTGGTGTGTTCGAGACGTCTCCCCGGGGGGGTTCCCCATCCGGGTTCCGGGCTCGAGAAGAAACGACGTCCCGTTTTTTCCAACCCATGGACGCTGCAGCTCCCAGGGGAGGACAAAGGTCCGCGGTGCTTGGGATCCAAGCAGATTGCCCCCCAACACCGGCCGCCAAGGCCAGCCCGACAACGTGGTGCCGCGTGGTCCTCTCGCGTTAGAAGGGGCGCTGTAGGAAGGCGATGGGAGGGGACCCCACGCTGCTCGGGCTGCGCAGGTGAGAATCGTAGGACCCCGGCGTCACGCCCACCAGACTGTCATGGTGGGGCGTCTCCCCCTGCAGGAAGTCATCCTCCTCTTCGCCATTGGACACCTGCGCAGGAAGCAGAGAATCGATAGCCAATCAGCACCCAGGTCCCGCCCCACCCACAAAGGTCATGCACAGGTCGGCTCTGGGGGCGAGGCTTCCACAGCAGGAAGGCTTGGGAGACTTGCTAGCCCAAGAAGCGCAGCTTCTCTGCAGCTCAGTGGTCACCTGAGGGGGGTTACCTGTCTGACTGGCTTCTTCTGTCCGTCCACCTCACAGTCCCCTGGCTCCTCCCACACCTGGTAGATGGGCTCTATCAGCTTCCCCGACCTGCCGACATCCGACACAGAGGAACAGTGGGAGCAGGAAAGGGAAGAAAATGCCAACTGCAGAGCAGGGATCTCCCATTCCAATCCTCCAGGTCTTCTGGTTTACCATGTTCCGTGAGCTCTTAATTAGCTGAACCCATTTGCTTAGCTGGACCAGCTGAAGCACTTTCCCAGGTGCTGATTTAAAGCTCAGGGCCAGGGTTTGCTCACTGCAAACTGTGCTGCACACAGATCTTAACAAGGCACTGACTCAACCAGACGCAGCAAGGACTTGTGGGGCCAGCTACACTGAGCCTCTGGCACGTAAAAATAAAGAACAGTAAGAGCACGGAATCTTAGACGGCTTAATCGTTACATTTCCACGAACAGCAGCAAGAGAAAGGAAACACTCTGATGCCCCGGTAGGCGGGCACACCTGTACGCCCGTTACCTCTTCAGCAGGTAGGGGTCGAAGGGGAAGAAGCTGTCCAGGGGGTTGGTGTTGACGGGCAGAGACTCCCCTCCCTGGCCGCTCCTGACCGCGGGCAGAGTCAGCCTGTTATTGCGCTCGATGATGGTGTAGCAGAACACCAGCTGGTACTTCCTGCAGCGCAGAGACACATGGGGGGGGCATGAGGTCGCCGACAGGACCCTCACAGCGCCCACCCACCCCCTCTGCACCAGCACACGCTTCCAACATTAAAACACGGATTAAGGTGCGTGCCAAGGAGCAAGCCTATTCCAAGATTTACTGAAAACATACACTCTCAGCTATCTCCGACGCCATTTCTGAGCAGATCCATGTCTTGGTTTCCTGTTTCGGAACAGATAATCCAATGAATAGTAGCACACGGAGGACCACAGACACACGGGAAGGAGAATTCTGCCCCCGAGTGAGATGAGCCGACAGGAGCAGGGCGGAGACGGTTCAGTACCTTGTAATGGCGGCGAACATATTGGTGATGGCTGGCAGGCAGACCTTCAGCGGGTTCAGCTGACACATGACGATTCGCTCCAGGTTCATCTGCTGGAGGTAGGCCATTCCTGCCACACAGACACAGACCCCGCGGGGACATCACTCCCACCCGAACGACAAGGGCACAGCGATGAGGCGATGAGGGCAAATTAGCCTTGTGTTTTCACATTATTGATACGAAGCAGAAAAAGAGGGAGATCTGGGTCTCTTTTCAGCCAGGATCTACGTAACTCGATTCAACGGTCTATTGTCAACCATTCGTTTAGACCACAAAGTCATCAAATGTGAAAGATTAAGAAGATCGAAGCTGCAAGTAAGTTGAGGCACCGAGGTCCCTCATGCTCGTTTGGTAGTTCAGCGGCTCAGTGAATTGAATCTGGGCCTCATGCTCTCTAGATATTCACCGCGAGTCTCCTGCTCCAGACACTCCAGAAACGTTCCCTAATCTCCGTCTTAAATTTACTCCCTATTGTTACCCTGCATATCCACTCCTCCAGAGCCAAGGCTGCAGGCCGCAGACCAGGTGCCAACACACAGCCTGCAGGAAGAAAGCACCACGACGGAAGAGGAGGCCCCTGTGCCCCTGGCCTGTACCCACCCTGGCGCAGGCTGCCCTCCAGGATCTGCTGGTGCCTGAAGATCAGCGTGTAGAAGACCGCCTGGCAGGCAGAGTAGAAGGGGCCGTGCAGGCTCACGTCACAGAAGGCCCGGGAGCCCGCGTCCTGGCTGTCGATGTAGCGGTGGAGCCAGGGAACCAGCAGGTCCAGACACGCCTTCACCGTGCTGAGGGGCACCGGAGACAGGGAGTCAGGGGAGAACGGCAGGAAGAGCCGGAAAACGAGCTCATGGGACAGGCAGAAACCCCAGAAGGCACTCACGTGATGGACAGGAAGTTGGCCCGGGCCAGGAAGCTGCCGACATACGCGGCCGCGGCCTGCCGAAGGACAGGCGGGTGGCTGGGGTTCTGCACCGTCTTCCACAGGTGCTCCAGGAAGGCCTCGGCCAGACCCTGCAGGGGGGGCGACACAGCACACGCGCCGGCAGGGGAAAAGGGTGAGACACCGGCCCAGCCAGAAGCGGGGGTTCCCCGCGCCCCTCAGCTACACTGCGGGCAGGATGGGGACTCACCAGCCGGAAGCTGCACAGGTAGAAGAGGGCGAACTGCACGTGGCAGCAGGCGTGGGTGGGCAGCACAAGCTTGTCAAACACGCCCACCAGGTCCCGGTACAGCTCCTTCGTCTGCGTCAGGTGCAGGGACCCTGGGAAGCGCCACAGGAGGAGTTTTGGTTTTAACGTCTGTTCTATAAAGCCGTCCAACATCCCATCTACAACCTTTATCCAGAAGATGAGCTTGAAACACCCCTGGTCAATCACAGTCCCATCGGAGCTCCCTACGGCCGGCCTCGAGTCCTCACCGCTCACAAAGCACACGTCCTTGATGTAAGCCAGCAGGATGTCCATGAGGGTGTCCAGCCGCTCAGCTACAGGGTGGGCCATCACAGCGCCCCCTGCCTCTCCAGAGGGCCTGGCCAGGTCATCTTCATCCTTTCACAGACAAGACAGGAAAGCAAGACATGGAGGGGGATCAAATGAGCGCCTGGGAAATAACTGAAGGTCAAAAGCCAACAAAGCAACATTATACAAAGATGAACACATCGTTGTCAATGTCCTTTTAGCGTTCCTTTCTGTCCTGGAAATCACTTGGGACTCCAGGGAGCCGTCCGGTTACCATGTCAAACAGTCCCTCCTCCGGCGGCCCCTCCCGGCCCCTCGCCTGCTGCGCTGGGCTCTCCTCCGCCTCCTCGATCTCGCTCCGGGGAGCGCTCACCTGAGGGAAAACGGGGACACAGGGAGCTCATACTGGGGGGCGAGGAACCCAGGCTGGTCTGCCGAGAGGTTTCAGCCCGTCGTCCGCCTGGGAAACCACTAGCATATAGTCAGTGCTCCTCATCGGTGGAAGAGCATGAGCCCGTCATTACAATTAAATACTGCCGTTACTAATCGAGCGCTGCGAGCTTGCGTCTTTCCGAACCTCCCCAGGGATGTGCCAGTAAACCTCTTCTGGAGGAGTGTGCGATATCCCAGCCTGGGCTACTCTGGTCACGCCCACTGCTTTGTCCTCTGCTCTGCCTATCAGTGTCTGAACCCACTTTTCTCTACCCAGTTCCCCCCCCCCACTCAATCTAGCTCGGACCTTCCTCGTTACCGGAGCACCGGGTGACGACACTGTCCCAGCGGATCCTAAGCCTCTGTAAAACATCAACCCACACCCCAGCCCGGCCCAACTCACGTCCAGTTTGAGCATCCTGCCCATGACCAGCTCCAGAATGTCCCTGCGCAGCGTGGGGAGGTAGACAGTGACCCGCAGGAGGTTGTGGACGTAGCACTCCTGCGCACGGCACAGAAACGGCCTTCAGACCAGAGCCCCCCTCGCCAAGGTCACGCCCCCACAGTTCCCACAGTTCCCAGGCCAGACCTGGCACCACGCAACCTTCTTCCACTTTCTTACAAGTTACAAGACATAAAAATGCCCCGTGAGCTCCATGCGGCTACCTCCCACCGTAACGAAAAGCAACTCGGATCAGTAACCCCGAGCTGGTGTGATCTCGGGACTGGAGTCGGGGAAACGCTGATAGTCTTTGCCGGAGCCCTTACCAGGGTCCTGGAGGATTTCTGGACAAAGGGGAAGTTGTCCGTCAGGATGGGCATCAGGAACCTGGTAGTCCTAGGGCGCACAAGAAGGGAACCTCGTTATCCCACAGGTCTCGTTCTCAACACACAGACACAGACTCCCCACAGACCGACCAAGCCACAGAGCAAACTTGTCACAAACGATATTATTCACAAAATTACCATGCTAATGGAAAGAGAACTGCATGTTCTTTCTTTTCCCAGGTGCCACCTGAAACTCCAATGCGGAAACCTTTAACTGAATCTAAAAGCTTATATATTTTCTTTATCGCTATAAATTAAGTAAAATATCTTTAGGTTTGCGTCTGCTGCGAAGACTTACGAAGGAACATATCTGCTGATGACCTGCAGAGCTCGATGACACAGGTCAAAGTTCCTAGGCAGGTCTGAAACAAAACAGCACATAAAAATACAGTTCAGTTCAATCCACACTGACGCACAGATATACTGTACATATCCACATCCACACTGTGGCTCACTGCAGTATCCCCTGGATGGTTGGTACTTCTGCAGTGAATTAAAACCGATGGAAAACCTACTTTCGTCTTCGTCATCCGAGTCAGAAATGTCCACGCCTCCCTCCCGGATAACGATTCTCCCTGTAGAAACAGAAACACCGGAGCACAAGTTAGCAACTAACTCCTCGTACCCCACTGTCTTCTGTGATCTTACTACTCTGGCCTTCCTTTCTTTCCAAAAAGGAGGCTCAGAATACTGAAGGACTGGACTGAACGGCGGGGTCCACTGTATTAATTTCTGTCTGCACACCTCCTGTTTAACTGTGACACAGCCCAAAGAGCCGGATCATGAGAAGCTACCGATTTATCTCGTCTTATTCTGGGAGGTACAGCAGCTGAGGCTCGAGTTGAGAGCACATCCCTATGTGCGGCGACGCCCAGTGAGGTAACCCGCTCAAGGCTGCACAGCAGCCTCCTGCCTGGGATTTGAACCCGCAACCCTCACGTCAGGAATCCATAGCCTTGAACCACACTGCTCCCCTAAATACGATAAAGCACAATAATGCACCAGAGGTGACGCCGAGGGTGCTGCTGGGAAGAAAATGAAAACAGAAATCATGGACGCACTGACCGGGCGTGAAGTGGGAGACCACCATCTTCAGGCAGGACCGCAGGTAGACAGTCTGAGCCGAGACCAGGTTGCTCAGGAAGGCCAGGTATTCCTCCACGACAGCGGGGCTCCGGCCCAGCCACGGCAGCCTCTGCACACCGGGAAAGAGCAACCGTTAGCCCACAGCGGGGACACTCGGAGCTGTCCGGCACGGACTGCGCCAGGGCAGCAGGAGCTCTGCGGGAAACGCTCCGACGACGACGACGACGACGAGCGACTGCTGCTCACCAGCACCACAGACACCAGCTGCTCGTGGTCCTTGGTGAGCTGGGTGACACAGTTCCGAAACTCCTGGAGCCAGTTGATGATCTGGGCATCCTGCCGGCAGGAGAGAGAACAGGGATCAGGATCACAGCTATCGACAGGATAAGGGCCGCAGCACAGCAGAAACTAAAGGGTCTCCACTGCCATGGGATGAATGAACTAAAGAATATATTGTTGCTATCGCTGAGATACACCGCAGCTACCCTGAATCCAGCCTGACATGGTGCTAGATTTACAAAGGCTAAACTGAGTGTTACAAAATATATTGCATGTAATTATTTAACAGCTGAAGGTTCAGGTGACTCATTTTACCAACAGTGACTTTCCACATCCAACAATTTGAACAATTGTTCAGCATCAAATTAGGATTTTCACATTTTCCAGTAAGACTGTACCATACTCCAGAGACAGAATATAAAACACATTAATGCACGGGAGCTAAGAACAAGCACTTATTTTAAGAGTTCAGTGTCCTTACCTTTATATCAGGGTCTGAGAGCTGGTGTTTAAGAAGCTCATAGTCATTGGTGTCACCCTTAAGAAATAAATACTGGACATTAATTTCACAGGATGATTTCCAAACACACGCTGCTACTGTCATAACAAAAATGACCTAGCGGTCACTGCCCACTCGGACTTGACTGTACTCAATACACACAGTGTAAGATGCCACAAATCTCGGAAAAGCACTTCTAAATCTCTCACCCGTTTGAACTTCGCCAGTGTGTCCACCACATTGCCCCCAAACCGCACTGTCTTCAGCGGAGGGCTACCGATAAAATCCCTTTCCACCTCCATCTCGACTCGACACTGCGAGAAACACCCCCGTTCAGATTTAAAACCGTGAAATAAATGAAAAGACAACCAAGAGACAGTTCTATCCCTACAGATATCAAAGCACGTCCAGTCAGTCAAAGGATCACTGAAGGACAATTAATTGTTAGGTAATTAGGATTAGCTAAAGGCAGTGAGGTGAGAATTACCCCTCGGGTTGACCATTACAAGTAACACGGAAAACAGTAGATGAAATTGGCTTTGCACAGATGCAGGATTATGCTCACCTTCTTCGAAACTAGGGGATAATACAAATTCGCAAATATGTCACAAATCACTGTACTGGAAACACGTCCAGTCTCCTGCGCTTTCTGTGGGACCTGACATGTGCGGACATGCTGCAGCTGCTTCTCCTCTCACCCGGAACTACAAACCGCGACCTCCTCTCTGACCTGGAAGTGACTGTTTGGTAGACTGGGTGAAAATAGGGTTAATGTTTTTTCATTCCAAAAATGGTTAGTATAACGTTTACCGTGAAAAGTACACACTGCATTAAGTTGCTGTACAATGTCATTATTTTGAATTATGTCAGCTTTCACTGTTCAATGGAAACCAAAATTGAATTTAACATAATTTTATAAACTTAGGAAGAGTTCTGTTGCGAAATACACCGAAGACCGCTTATTAAAACCACCCGAGAGACGGACACATATGTATATTAATTAGTTATGCCTAAAGAGGTATTGGCTCTTTGGAAGACTTTAGAGCCTTTATTAGACTACAGGGTAAAGGTATATTGCGTTATAGTCTCAATAATTAATATTTATTACAATATGTAGTCATAAGTATCCTTTTGCAAACTGACAATTAAACTATAACTTGTCAATTTATCCCCTATTAAGCATAGGTTTAAAATTAAGATAGATGATAATTGCGTCTTTTCTGAAAGCATTCCAGAACCTTTACAACATTTGATTTAGTTATGACCTGCTAAAACGTTCTGGATTGATCTGCAAAATGATATTAAAAAGTTTTCTAGATTTTACATTTCGTTTAGGGGAATATATGTGATATTATATAACGGCATATCTCCAGGCTATTTCTAAATGTAAGAATATAAAAGTTTTGCGTACCTTATCTTTATTTACCTCATTTAATCTGTTTTTGTAAAATGCAACTGATGGTGTTATATGTACTCTTGTGTAATGTATGTAGTATTGTAAATAAAAATAAAAAACGTCTATTAGCTTCTGAAAGAAAAGCGACATTTCATTCGCGATCCAGAAATTATTTTCATTACCACGTTCACGTCTTCCAAGCGCGCTTTGCAGAATAGACTGAACAAAATGTTTATTTTTTCACTGCTTGCGTGTCTTCCTAATATGTGCATTTTACATTTATCGTCAACAAGTACTGAAAAAACTCGGTTGATTCGGTTGACTTCCAGTCCAACAAGAACATCTTGTTTTTTAAGGAACGTTTGTAGGTATTGAACTTTTTCATAAGGGCGGATTCAGGTCAATGAAGCCCCCTTTAGGAACAGCGGCTGTCTGTCTGCGAGCAGAGGGAATTAACCGGGTCTGGGAATTGTACAGGGACGTCGGTGAGTAATTATTTTTTGACAAGGGATGCGTTTATTTACACGGTCCCAGGGCAGCAGTACAGTGATGAGCTCCCCTTTAGGGCGCATGTGCGAACGAACAGAGCCCTGCGCCTGCGCAGACGGCTTGGGGGAAACGCTGGCACTTTCATCACAGGACGCCCATGGCAACGGGCGTCACGTGACCGTACATGGCGCCCCTGCTGCCCTCTGTTTACTCTGTGCTCAAGTAAACAGTGCTCTTAGGGGTTCTCCCTCTCCAGGGTCCAGGGTCTGCACGTACAGTATGTGAGTGAGAGCTCTTTGCTTTCGGCACTTACATTTTTCCCCCCACGTTGTGCAAAACGTTAATTAGCTTTTAGCTCACTCACATGGACAGACGAAGACAGCTAGACTGGGCTGTGCAGCACAAATGGAGCTAAAAGTGCACAGAGAGTGCATCCGTTTTCCCATTGAGACAGTAAGGACAGTACCTGAAAGGCCGTGTGGTGCTGTGGCCCATGTCATCCAGACTCAAAACCTTCTTCTTCAGAAAAGCCTTTACTTAACTGGTTCCGTTCTTCACCCCTCTGCTCTTCTTAATACCACCTTCCACGGTCTCCTCTGTTGTTATTGTTGTATTGTTGTAATTATAATTGTGTCCTATCTTGTGAAATCTTCTTATTTATTGTTGTAGTCTTCTTATTTATTGTTATTGTCATCCTGTAAAGCGCTTTGAGAAGCCACCTTTAAAGGCGCTATATAAAATAAAGTTTATTATTATTATTATTAGTAGTAGTAGTAGTCAGACTCTCAGGCTCAGTGATGGCTCAGCAGCCATAATGACTGACCTCACACTCACTCTATTACACATGGCAGTGGACACATCTCACATACCCAGACAGACATCCTGTAATGTCATGTGGAATACCAGTGCCACATTCATTTGACACCTGTTCAATTCATAGACATAACCACCAACCCACTGAAGCTCAGCAGGTGTGGGCCTGGCCAGTACCTGGATGGGAAACCTCCTGGGAAAACAAAAAAAAAGGTTGCAGCTGGAAAACATGTTGGTGGGGCCAGCAGGTGGCGCTTACCCTGCCGTCCATGTGGGTCCTAATGCCCCAGTATAGTGACGGGGACACTATACTGTAAAAAGGAGCCTTTCTTCGAATGAGATGTACAACCGAGGTCCTGAAAATCCCAAGCCTTTTCTCGGAAAGAGTAGGGGTATCACCCTGGCATCCTGGCCAAACTTCCCATTGGCCCTTACCAATCATGGCCTCCTGATAATCCCCATCTGTGAATTGGCTTCATCACTCTGCTCTCTCTGCTTCATCAGTGTGCAGAAAAGCGCTATATAAGTGTAAGCAATTAGTATTAACCAATAATTCTCCCTTCAACCACCACAGTGCTGAAGAGCCTTAAGCTGCCCCAAACTCGCTCTCACCCTGGGGAAGACTGTAAGTACTGGGTCTGCCATCTGGATGGGGTATCTCTCACGAAATATGAATCTGTCATCTGGTCATGTGCTGACAGAACATGCAGGACACATTCAAATAGCTGTCCAACCTCACTCGCTTTAAAAAGATAAAAAAAATTATAACCTGCTCTGCTCTCAGCTGCTGTAACAGATTTAATATGAATGACATGAGTATGAATACAGGAACACATTTAGAAGACTATCATTGCTAGATTATCTTAAAACTGATGTTGTGTTGATCTTGTGTAAAGCACATTATAAGCAGCTTGTTAACCTTCTGACAACCGTGAACAGTCTCTGCTACCCTTTTGCTCACGTAATTGTGAAACTAACCAGGGCTTCGGACTGGGAATGAACTGAGCTGGACTGTGACAGATGTGCTGTTTTCAACACATAGATAGAAGACGTGATTCTTATGCTTTAAACATTGCTGTTATTCAACTATGTTATTGCTTCTGGCAGTGAACCCAGCAGTCTGTATATTGTATGTTAAGTCGAATAGTCCAGGCAAGTCACTTTCCAGAGATATTTCTATATAGAGAGAGAGAGCCCAGGTACAAATGCAAAGATAAAACAGAGTCTTGCAAATGAAAACTGTGTTTACAGTGTACAAAGGTCTGTTTGACAGAGGCTTATCACAATAAGAAAAGGTGTGGAGAGCTTTACTGTTCAGGAAGGACTCTGATTTTAATCTAGGAGCATTCTCAATATAAAGAGATGTATTTCCATCATGTATTAAGCCATACCACATTGATACAAGTTGGATGTGCCTTGATGATTTATGTTTGTTTTTTTTAATTAAAAGTTCCCGGATAATTATTCCTTCTATCGAACATTGTTTCATTGAATCATTTTAAACCATGTTTCGACCTGGTTTTGCTTAGAAACAGTCCTTTTGTAAAAAAAACAACATTCTATTCAATAAAACAAAACAAACGTCGAACATTTGATGCAGCAGACATAAAATGAGTCTGTGCTTCTTGCTTCCGAAATACTAGGATTTCCAGTAAAGAAGAACAAACTTTCAGTCAGGTAAAAATCAGTTCAATCCTTCAGCAGTGCCGGCTGGAGTCCTTTGTTCGGTTGAAAGCAGGCCAGACAAACAGGGCTCGGTGGATGAAAAGAGATTTGAACTCCATTTCACAAAAACAAGCCAGATAGTCTTTCATTCGCTGGAGTGTGTTTTGCCTGTTAGTTCCTCTGGGTTCCCCTGTTCTTAACATCACACCTGTTAACATACAAAAAGACCATAGCCATTGTTTAGAAACAGACAGTAACGACAGGAAGCTATTCAAATCATTTAAACCAAGAGATTGACCTGCCTAAATCACTCGTGGAAACTTGGCTGTTTTTTTAATGAGACAAATCAGTTACAAATGTAACAGACTACAACAAGGAAGTCTAGGAAAGAAAGGAAAACAATACTTAAAATACCCCCCCCTCCCCCATATAAAACTACAGAGACAGCAGGGAGGGAGGAACTTCTGGTCCCATTTTAAACCATGTTATGGGCTCCTGGGGTGCCCAAATAATTGGACAGCAAGGGGGTGCTGAACCTGTCAAATTGTTTGACCGAAGATGTACGGTATATCCTGACCTGATCCTAGGGGTTAGAGAGGAGAGCCTCCTGTGTGTGTGAGCTCTGTTGGAACAGCCTGGGGTTAATTCCTCACTGGAAACACACCATTTTCAAACAGAAGGAAGCCACTCGCACCTTCAGTCTCTCCTGGGTTTCATTAGCCTGATCACCCGACTCTCATCCTTGTCTTTCTTGTAAGTGTCCCAGGGAGGTTGTTCCAGACTCCTACACCATTTTGCATACAGAAGAAACTCCCTATTTAAAACATTGTTCTACTTTTCACTTGTAGCGTGGCATTAACCTCAGATTGTGTTTTTAAATATTACGTTTGTTCTGGAAACACGTTTGTGACTTTGTAAACTTGTTTGTAAATTTCTCAACTTGTTTTTCTAAATACTTTCTCACGCTGGTCTACATCTTGCTTTCAGCATAAATGTCAAGATTCATTTTTTTTAAATCGAAGTGTCAAGGGATAATAAATTCATGCACTTAATAGGTATGTGCTCCCTATTGTTTACTGTGGAGTATTTTAAGGCCTAAAGCACTTCATTCAGTAGGATTCAGTAAAAATATTTATATAGTCCTTATGTTTTACAACATACATATAAAAGAAAGACTTTGATTGTGTTCCCTTTCAATGCTTTTCTCTGTGGCCATGTTGCACAAGGTGACCACGTCGATTAGCAGTATTCGTTAATGCTTAACCGAAAGTCAAATATCCTGCTTTTCGCTATTCCGTGTTTCCGTCTGGTGTGTGCGCTCTCTGAGCAAATGTAGCTGGTAATTTGACTAAACGTCCCCATGAAAAGTTTGAAACTCAATAGCGCCTGAGCATGAATATAGCACGAGAGTCTGAACGGGTGTCGAATGACAAATTCTACATCTTGTCTCGTTTCGTTAGTAACCGTCTATAATTAAATGAACTTAAAAAACACGAATGCATGTAAATGTAGATTTTCCTACGTGATTAACTCCGCTTAATAATAATAATAATAATAATAAAAACCTTGTTAGCGGGGCTATATTGGCGTTGTTTCGGTGGCTGTAGCTGGGCTAGATGCCGCCTCACTAGCGACAGTGGCGGAGACGGTGTGCAAGCTGCCTTCAGCCGGGGCCATGGGCAGAACCACTGGTGTCTGCAGCTCCGTGCCCCTCGGCCCCCCGCCGTGCCCGTTGGGTCTTGCCCTCCCTCGGAAGGAGCTCCTGATCCCGTTGGAGAGCCGGCTGGAGAGCCGCCTCACCAGCCCGGCCAGCCCCCTCTCCTTCTTCAGCAGCCCCACGTCGTCCTCCAGCTCCTCGGGGGGAACCTCGATGTTGCCCGTGTACCAGAACACCCACCAGATGAGGCTGAGGAAGATGATGATCGCGCCGGCGTAGATGAGGAAGTCGTAGAAGAACAGGTCCCCGAACACCCCCACTAGCAGGACCGCCAGCCCGAAGATATCGAAGGCCACCGCCAGCCAGAATGCGCAGGAGCAGCGGCCAAGCCCAGGAAGACCTTTTTCCATAGCTGGGGCAGGTGTGTGCCGGCCGAGACAACTCTCCCCTGGCCTCTCAGGCGAGCATAGCGCACCTGTTACCTGCAGCCTCCCGCAGAGGCTCGCGTTTCAGCAGAAGCTCCGAGGTGCCCGTCTGTGTGCGCGCACACAGGTGGAGGAGACAGGTGTGGAAACGCCGCGAGTCAGCCTCACCTGAGCTGCCCTGGAGGACACGGAGCGCAGGCACCTCGCGAGGGGGGGGCTATGTCGTCACAATAGCGCTGCACAGCAACAAAGGTGCAGGGACCAGCCAGGTAAGGTGGGGGAATTTAACCTTTGCATAGCCTATTGTACACACCGTGCCGTATATACACCTGTTTGTAACTTTTTAAGAGACGGTTTGTAACAGGTTCGGATGGATAATCAACGTTTAAAAGTGTTTTCAGGCAAAGTGCAACGAATCATTAATTTTATAATAAACCCCGAAATAAGGGGCTTGTATACATCGTGATTTACCGATTCGTCTGATCGTGTACTTGTTTCCTCTAGGAAATATGAGTGTTTAGGGGATACCATTACATAAATGACAATCGGAAGGAAAAAGCGTGGAAAGTAAGTTTATTTTTTCAAAGTGTGTCAGCAGCGTCCACCGGCGAAGAAGCAACACCATTATTACAATAAAAATGAACAGTTTTGTGAGTGAATAACCGCAACGTTTTCTTCAAGCAGGTCACCCCAGATGTTTCCAAGGAAGCGATCATCTGTATCAAACTTTTGTCCAGTCTCTGAGATTAATACATCTCTTTATATATATATATTTTAAAATAATACAGTAATACGAAAATCTCGACTAAATCAGAAGTTGAGTCTAAGCCCGAGAATCATTTCACCGGACGGTATCTCCACCTGGTGGAAAAACTCAGAATAAGATTTTAGTTCAGGGTTACTCAGCGGGCAGACACTTAAAGGTCTAGCAATTTGTCAGTTCAGTGATGAAGGTGCGGCTTGTAACTTTTCTGCGCTGGTCTGGCTTGGAGGGCTGGGGTTTTAACTGGGCTCCGTTTTAGTTTCCAGTGGTTTTGCTCTGCGAGTTACAGGATTAACCGAAAACCCCGCAGGGAGCTCCCGTCACCCTGAACCCCGCAAAACAACACCGGGGGCTACCGCACTGACAAACGGGGCTCCCTCATGCTGTTAATAACGAAAGCACGAAAGAGAAACCAAGACGCCAAACGGTGGGAATGACGGTACACTCTGCAGAGTATCCTCGATTATGTATTTTACTTTTAGAGACTATAGAAAGATTGTACAGATTTCACGAAAGCGCAGGGGCCACAGGGTGGACAGCCAACTCCAGGTCTGACCGCATATCATTCCAGAAAGACGGCGCATCGGTCACGCCCGGTGTCTGCAGGCCACAGGCTGACAGCGTCCCACCCGCAGGACAGGGGAAGACCCACCGCCCTCGGCGCCGGCCTAACGCGTGTTCTCGGATCGCTGGTCACCGGGACAAGGGAAGAAATGCACACAGGCAGCAGGGATCAGGCAGCAGCGGTGAAGAAACGTGTCAAATTCTACGCGTGGTGCGTTGTGCATCGCTTTTTTTTTTCTTTCCACCCGCAGCTGACGGGGGAGAAGCGGGCGAGCCTGACCCTCCGGACACCAGCCGCTGGAAAATCCTTTATCAATAACGACCAGAATAAAAACAACAGGGGGGCTCATATAGATTTCAAGCGCGGAGCCAGCTGGGAGACCCTTCTGTTGTGCTTCTATATATCACTGTAGAATAGTACTGTACAGCGGAGCGGCCAGATGGACCCACGCGTGTAAATACAGACATACAAGCCGTATATGAGTTGTTTATGTGAGGATATATACAGTACGAGGGGGGAGACTGCGTTTACTTTCGCCGAGGTAAGGAGGGCAGCATCACGGGGCCGGTCTGAATGCATCTGCGTGTTTAACCGATGAGATGTCCCAAACTGAGGTCTCCTAATAAGGGGCAGGAGGCGTTGCGAGCGGCGCCCAGGAATTCCGTGCCTAGCATGGCGAGGATCTGGCACACGTCTTCCTGATGACCCCCTTGTACCGGAGCTTCTGCTTGATGACGGGCACCCACACCAGCCCCGTCACCAGGAACATGAGTCCGATGGACAGGCAGACGGGCCCCAGGGCGTAGGGCACCTTGGCCGCCCTGGTGAAGTAGAGGAAGGCCAGCACGGTGCCGGCGCCGAACAGCAGCCCGCCGGCCGCCATGATGATGATGGGCTTGTGGAAGTAGGTCCAGCGGGCCGGCTCCTCTCCCGCGGGCCCCGGGTCCGGGCGCAGCGCCCTGCGCACCGGGCTGGCGGTGTCCTCGGCCGCCGGCCTGCAGTCTCCGCCGGAGGCCATGATGCCCGTGGAGAGCATGGCAGCCGCCGGGCCTGCGGAGAGAGTCGCGGCACGGCAGCTCAGCAGCTGGAGGTGGAGGCAACACGATCCCTGGTGCATTTAGGGCCAACAGAGGACGTGTCTGAAAGACTCCAACACAGTTCTAGCAAAAGAGCAGGAACGCGTGTTCACTCGAGCTTTAACCCTTTAATTTCTGGAATGACTTGTTGATGTATTTTGCGTGTTATAATTATTCTTCTTCTTTAGGCGTTAGGGTGTTTGGCGTACTCTCTCCCGCCCCCCCCCGTCCCGAAAAGCCCCCCAGATGGTTTATAACCTGAGTCACACGCGAATGTGATGTACTTACAGGGCAGCGCGCAGCTGTGAGCGCAGGAGGCCTCGGTGAGATGCGGGTCCGAGAGGCGGCGCTCCGGGCGGCTCGGGAGCGGAGCAGGGAGGAGGCAGGGTGAGGAGATCGCAGCGGCTGTCACCTGGCACCTGAAGGGCAGGACACGGCGAGAGAGAGGGTGGGCTGCCCCCCTGGAGGGCCACCTGTACAAGCCTGAATGTGCAACCTGTACGTGCAGAATGAAAACATCATTAAACGAAAACGGTACATAAATAAAGCCTGTATTTGTGGGGGCAGTTCGCCTCGCTTAGATCTGTCGCGACGAGTCAAGGGCGTGCAGATGAAAGTTTATTCTGAGAGTCAGAATCGGGAGATTTGAACATCTGAAAAGGGGGCACTCAGGAGCGCGCGAGAAAAAACAAACGAACAGACGGTGCGAATGTTACGGGTGCGAGCGGGTGATTTGAGATCCATCGCGCTCCAAAGCGTTGAGTTACAGAAAGATAACGATCACAGAAAAAAAATAAACCCCGACAGTGGCGCACTCTTAATAAGTCCCACTCACCCAGAAGAGCAGAAGCCAGCTGCTACAGCAGTAAACATCACATCACACCCCCCGGGAGAAAGCGGAGGGAATGGTTACGATTTATAGACAATCCCGTTTGCAGGGTCCCGCGCTCGGAAGAGAAAGGGCTTCCCGCTGGGGTCCAGCACACTTACCGACCCGCCTGCCCCTCCGGCCGCCAGCTGCTCGCTCTAGGGTCCGAGAGAGCGGGCGCGAGCGCTCAGGGTCCGGACCCACCCCTGGGGGGGTGGGAGGGACAGCCGGCTCGCCCGCCCCCCTACCCGCGGCCCTCGAACCACAGTCCGCCCGCTGCTGTGAGAGGCGTCTATAATAAAACACTCCGCCACCGCATGAAATACTAAACAGTGCCGTCAGAAATACTAAACAGTGAGACAAGCAGAGTTGTTGAGGGCGGCCCTTCCAGAAAGCTTGGAAAAAGGCTCCTGCCTGGATAGTCCGAGGTGCTCGGAACCTGACTCTGAATCCCTCCGGGAAACAGTGTTGGACACGCGGGGCGTCTTCATTCTCTCAGCAGCTTATAGACGTCGAATACAAAATGAAAAATGAAAACACAACACTGGGATTATTTACGCGTAGCGTGTCGCTGTCGCCAATGAATGAGACAGGTCGCGTGGAATACGCCGCATTGAAAATACCAGCATAACTGGTCTTATATTGGTATAACAGTATAAACAATATCATTTCCTCGCGTAAGAAGCGAGGAAATGGAGCTCACGCCCATCACTTGATACGGGGCAAATCGAGGGCTGAATGAGAGTGGAAAATAAAGCAAATACGACACGGACCACCCCACTCTTGTTTCTCGCTCGTGTACACAAAGGCCGAGAGATGTATGACACGACAAGAGGCAGGAACCCACGTTCCCCGAGGCCAGCGCTCGGCTCGCCACAAACACACCTGCGGGGGTGTCGATCTCTCTGCTCCACCCTGTCACCTCCCACCGCCCCTTAGACGGGGACAGCAGAAACTCACACACACATATATACTGTAAATAAGATGTATGGGCTTCGCCGAGGTACCAGTTTCAGAGGCGACTCTTGACAAAGCTGTGGTTCACACCTCTGGTCCTGGGGGAACCCTGTGTCTCCGGGTTTTGTTCCACCGAAGTTCTTCATAACAGGCTAATGGATTTCTTTTTTTTTCTCCCTTGAGACATAGTTGTCTCTTTCAGATCTTAAAAAGACAGCACCAGTATGTCATTGCTGTGACCACCCCCTATAATAATTCCGAGTTTCCGATATTCCCTGGCGCAGATGAGACGCGCTGACCGACAAAGGGAAAGTCTGATATAGTGTCCCTCCCACCTGTGCCTGCTCGCCTCTCAAGAGCTGTCCTGACAGGAATAAAGGAGCAAACTCTCCATGAACAGGCTGAGGGGAGATTGCATGCAGTTCCGCTTGCTGCAGTTGCTGGAGTTCGGGTATTTTACAAACCACGCACTGAGCGCAGACGCGGATGAACAGAAGTTTCTTTTTTTTTTAAAGAATGTTTTTATTTAAACACCAGAAATACAAAAAAAAAGGAGACAGAATATTAAAATAGATACAGAAATAGACACAATTCACCAATGTAAAAACTAAAAACGATACTCTTTACACATTTCCGCTGCAGGTCTTGCCTTTGGATTCCAATGGATGAACAGCCAGCTGCCAGCAGCCCAGCGGACGTCATCAGTTCGCACCGGCGATTTAAAGCCGAGCTCGGACGAGCCCAGCGTGTCAACGGGCCACCAGCAACCTGGAACCCATGAACCACCGCGGTGAAGGCCTCCTCGCACGCTGTGCTCCGCGTCCCACCTCACGAGGAGAAGGCGGACTGAAGAGCAGCGGGACCTCGGTCCAGCGGGTCCAGCGGGTCCAGCGGTCCCCACAGCCACGAGGAGGACACTTGACATCGCTGGGGAGGGGACTGAGAGCGAGGTCTGGTCAGTATCCATCGTGCTGTAATGTATACACCCTCGCAGGCGCCTCGGTGTGTGTGTTTATATACTGCGCAGCACCGTCCCCGGCCTCGCAAAGCCTGAGCGATTAAGACGGGTCGTCTGAGGGGCCTGAGGCGGACAGCTTTCAAATCCCCTGTTATAAACCAACGCCGGCGAACAGCGTTTGTGCCGGTTTGTGCCGTTGAGAGTAACTTCCCAGCTGCTTTCGCTCCTTAGACATAGCGTCTTCCTTTTCAGGGGGTGACCGTGCCCAGCCCCCCTACAACGTCGTAGGGGAACCGGACTGGTCTCAATCGTTAGGGCGGCGATTGTGCCGGTTTGAGCCGTTGAAAAGTAGCGTTTGTGCTGCTTTCGTCCCAGAGATATAGCGCCTTGGGTTTCCGGTGATCACATGGCCACGCACGGTGACTGCCGAGTTCAAGCGTCCGTTACCGGTGCGACAGGAACAGTTCTGCAACTGTGTTCCTCTGTTTCCCCGGGTGGGGTGCGGCGGCGGTGGATTTTGCATTTAATATCAGTGTCTTCTGTGCGTTTGTGTGAGCAGGAAAATTAAATGTGTCACGAATATCACACACCCTAACAACTAGAAGAGTTGCGGGTGTAGTCTCAAAAAGCGAACACTAGCAAACAATTGCATGTGCTTACCAAGAGGCTTTAACGAGCAAGTCTTAATATTTCGTAGCGGTGTGGTTTTTTTTTTTTAAATCTGAAGAAGTGATCAGTTTCTCACTGCCTCCTTCTTAAACACGCACACCAAGGGACGTGTAAAGATTCGACCCGTCAGTCGAGCCACGTGTTCAAAGAGACTTGAATCTGCAACTTTACGAACAACAAGACCACTGTTGCACTCTTTTTTTTTATCTTTGTGTTTCCGGCCAGTCCTTGGTGTAGAATACAGCGTGAGGGCACACCTGCCCTCTGGAGACACAGGTATGGGTGCCCGTGTTAGATCCTCAGGTGAAGCCGAGTCTTCTGCAGTCTGCAATGTAA